GGCCGGGCGGCTGCGACAGGGCCGGGCGGCTGCGACGGGGCCGGGCGGCGGCGACGGGGCCGGGCGGCAGGGACGGGGCCCGGGCAGGCCACAGCAGGGCCGGGCAGGGGCGACGGGGCCGGGCGGGCGAGCAGGGGCCGGGCAGGTGCGACAGGGGCCGGGCAGCCGCGACAGGGGCCGGGCGGGCGCCACGCGGCCGATAGGCCGCGACGGGGCCGAGCAGGGGCGACGGGGCCGAGCAGGGGCGACGGGGCCGAGCAGGGGCGACGGGGATGGGTAGGGGCGCGACGGGGCCTGGAGGGGCGTTACCAAGCCCAGGTAGGGGCGCGACGGGGCCTGGGGGGAGCGCAATGGGGCCCAGGAGGGGCGCTACGGGGCCTGGGAGGAGCGCGACTGGGCTAGGGAGGGGCGCGACGGGGCCTGGGAGGAGCGCAATGGGGCCCAGGAGGGGCGCTACGGGGCCTGGGAGGAGCGCGACGGGGCCCTGGAGGGGCGCTACCAGGCCCTGGAAGGGGCGCGACGGGGCCTGGAGGGGCGCTACGAAGCCCTGAAAGGGGCGCGACGGGGCCTGGAGGGGCGCTACGAAGCCCTGGAAGGGGCGCGACGGGGCCTGGGAGGAGCGCAATGGGGCCCAGGAGGGGCGCTACGAGGCCTGGGAGGAGCGCGACGGGGCCCAGAAAGGGGCGCAACGGGGCCCAGGAAGGGGCGCGACGGGGCTAGGGAGGGTCGCGACGGGGCTAGGGAGGGTCGCGACGGGGCTAGGAGCACGACGGGGCCCAGTTAGGGGGCGAGTGGAAGCGTGAGGGGGGGGGGGGGGGGGGGGGGGGGGGGGATCCTACCTACGCGTGATACCATAACAAACAGTGAAATTGATGAATAGAGAGAGAGAGTACACAAACATATACCTAAATGTTGTACTCTCTAGAAGATAACCCTATACAGTCTATACAAGCATGATAACTAAACATGTTTGACAGGACATGCTGCCTATTTTGGATTTTTCCTACAACAACGCGCCCTCGGCTATGACTAATCACTCTCCGTTTTATCTCAATTACGGGATGGACCCTTCAGTACCTGTCTCCACCAACATTGAGAGTCAAGTACCACGATCGCAGCAGTTCGTCGAAGAATTACAGACTGCCCGAGACAAAGCTGTCGAACTTATTCGCAAGGTGAAAGCAACTGCCCGACGGTATGCGGATTTACATCGCAAGGATATTACAATGGCAGCATGGCAACTAATCTTGTTGGACACCAAGAATTTACTACTGCCACTACAGACGAAATTACGACCACGTTTCTGTGGCCCATTCAAGATCATGAAGATGGTGACGCCGGTGACCGCCTAGTTGCGCCTACCTGATGACTGGCATATTCACAACAAGTTCCACGTGAGCCTGTTGCGACCTTTCGTACCTGACACATCGGACATCGCCCGACAGCGATTGGTCCCAGATGTACGGCCACCGGCCGAGATGACCATCGAGCCTTCGAAGATTTTGAGCCATCGGATTCGCATTGACGGCCAGGGACGACACGTTGACTTCCTGATACGATGGACCAATCGTACCAGTGAGGACGACACGTGGGTGCCCTCGGACCAGATACAGTCACCTCCGATACTCGCGAATTATTTAGCCCGCAAGCACGCGACTGATATAGATCACCTTCGCTAAGGGGGGGGGGGTGGTGTAAGGAATTTTCTATTCCTTACCGAGCGGTACTGCAATCGCGTACGCTCGAACACACCCGAAGCCTCGGGATGATTCCGGGAGACGACGGGAGGTAAAAGTGCCAGTCAAACGAGTCGAGGGGGAAACTGAGGAAGACACAAGGGCCGGTGCGGGCATTGAGCTTGTCCGTGCCAGAGGCACGATCGTGAGCGAGGCAGCCCTAGACGTGGAATAAAGACACGTCACCAGGGGACCTGGTCTAGTGGAGGGTCGGCGAAACCTGCGGCCGCTAAGGGTGCAGCCACAGGTTAAGATGGTGAGCGGCGTAGCAAACAGCGAACTACCACAGAAAATGGGCACAGAAAATGGGGTGCACCGGCATGGATCATGGAGGTACGAACCACCTCCATGAACAAACCGATGCATCGCTCAGCAACCCCATTCTGCTACAGGGAGTCCAGAAAAGTGTACGTCTGGGTGATGCCCTCCGCACGACAGAAACGACCAAGGCAACCAGAGGTGAACTCGTCACCGTGTTCACAGTGAAGACGCAACATACAGATACCTCGGTGCACGCGCGCGAATATAAGCCACGGGATAAAAACGTCAGGAACGTCGGCCTTCCGCTCCCGGGGAAACACGGTGGTGTAACGGGTTTAGTCGTCGATAAGCACTAGAAAGTAGTGCTCGCGACGCGGCCCATGGACAGGGACGGGGCCCCAGACGTCCATGTGTAGGGTTTGCAACGGTGCGGCGGTGGGGGGGAACAAGGAGGAGTAAGGGGCATGGTGGAGCCGGCCTTCAACGCAGGGCGTGCACGGCGGCGCGGGTGAGGAGGGGAGCGCAGGGAACGACTCAGGGAGACCTAAGACAAGACCGTGCTGGGACATGTGATGGAGACGGGTGAGAGCAGGGTGACCTAGACGGTGGTGCCACAGAAGAGACGGGTGAGAAAGCGACCGACACGAGCAAGCCGCAGCAACCTGGGTAGACGCTGCCACCTGGGGAGGCGTCCCAACCGCGGGGGACGCGGTGTCCAGCATGAACAGGCCAGACACCGGGTCCTGGGGGAACGTGTTGAGGGGGGCACCAGTGGCGGCCTCGGTACTGACAGCGTACCGCTCGTGCCCAAGGAACGTAGAGGTGATACCAAGGTTCTTGAGGCAGCCGACACCAACTAGGTTCCTAGAGAACGAGGGGCTGTGCAGGCCTATAAGGGAGCCCGAGGGAACCGCCGGACAGAGAAGGGTGGTGGAGCTACGGGCGACTACAGAACCGGAGGAAGGGTTTGCAAGAGCAACTGCGGCGGGTGCGGCAAGCGGCGTAAGCGTAGTAGAGTACCAAAAGAAACACCGGGAAGCGCTGGAGTCCGGGGTGAAGGAGAGCGCGGCAGTGGCGACAGGGGTCGGAGGAGCGAGGGAGGACCCAAGGCTAAACAAGGCAGGGGATCCTACGCCTGACACAGGAGGGAAGCCTGAACTAGGCACACAGGGCACAGCGACACTAGGCAACACAGGGTAATAGGAACCATTCACGCTAGAGTCATCGACATACAGCACATACAAAGCAGAGCTAATCTCATCCATGTCCATATCAAAGATCTGAACACGATGACGGAGCAGATTGTGCCAGTCGGGGAGGTCAGGCGACAGGCCAAAGCGTAGACGAAACAGGTCGTCTAGGCGACTGAAGCAACGAGTGGGGGTATGGCCGATCTTACCGCACATGAGGTCGCGGCGAGGACCGGTCTGGAGCTGGTACTGGCAGCGCCCGTCACTCTGACAAACACCCGACGTCACTCCACGCGCACGACCAATGCGACCACCGCCACTACTGGCGCTAGGCCACCTCGGCAAGAGACGGCCGACCCACCGCTGCTATTGCTGCTGCTGCTGCGGCTGTGACTGCTGCTGCTGGTCCAACTGTGGCACCTGCTGTTGCTGCTGCTGCTGCTGCTCCGAGGCACCAGCCCTAGCCCCCTCGTCAGTACTACCAGCGGGCGAGCCACCTCCACCACCGCCACCACCCCCTCCTCCGCTACCCCCGCCGCGCCCAGCCTTAGGGCGGCGGCCCTTACCCGGACGAAACTGCACTGCGGCGGCTGTCTCCGCAACAAGAGCTGTCTCATCGACAGCAGCAGAACCGTCAGAGTAAGAGGAGTGAGCGGGGGCACATCCCTGAAAGATAGAGACCGGCACGGTACTGCTAGACTGGGCGATAGAGCGCTGGCGAGTCTCTATGGCAGACAGGGTGTCGACAAAGTCAGTGAGGGTGAGGTCAGCGAGGTGGAGACTAAGGAAGTGATCGCGGGCGGTGGTAAGGCGATCAGGGAGGCGGGTGGCAAGCAGGTAGAGGGTAGAGCAGATGGGGGGCTGAAACACACGAAGATGGACCTCAGTGCAGGCAGCGCGCCAGGTCGTGTCTAGCGTGCGCAGGTGGGCGGCCAGGTCAGCGATAGTAGGGAAAGACGCGAGATCAGGAAAGAGCATGGGCAGGATCAGGCGACCGACGGAGACAGAGGGCGGAGTGGAATAGCGTGCGACAACAGCCTCTAAGAACTCCTGCGCAGTCCTTTTAGACCTTAAGCGAGGGCGCTCGGACAGGGGGAGGGCATGACTAATCACAAGCTGTGCGACAGCGTCACGCGACAACCAGATAGCACGGGCAAGGGCAGCACGGGCAAGGACAGCATGGGCTCTGATACCATATCAAGGTTAACGGATGATTAGAAATGTGGGATACAAGGGAATATAACCTAGTGGGTTGTACTCTCTAAGGCACAACCCTATGTAGTCTATAACAATATACTACGATATGTTTGACAAGCACCCACCTCAGAACCCGTACCCCCAGCGCCAACACCCCCAGAGCGCACCAGCACCTACTGCTGTTGCTGCTGCGGCGGCGGAGGCACCGGGGCAAGGGGTGCAGGCGCCACAGAGCCAGACGGTGCACCGGTAGTCCCAGGACCCCTAGAGTCAGAAGACAGCTCCAGACCAACCGAGGGAAGGGGAGTGACGTGTGACACACCAGACGGGGCAGGACGGAGAGGGAGGGGAACGAGAGCCATCGGAGGAGTAGGGAAAAGGAACAAGGGCGAGGTGCTCTAAAGCTAAGGTAGGCTAGGGCGGAAGCGTGGGTGGGTGGGACGGACCTACCTAGCGTGATACCATGTTAAAATAGTGAAGTAACTCTAGCAGGGCATACAGGCGGAATATGTGTGCTGCTGTTGTTCTCTCTAAGAGCACATACCTATTGAACCTATAATTATGCATATAACAAATATGTATACGATGACAACAGCCTGTGTTTCTGATGATGTTTTTTGTTGCCAGTCTCTGATTTACAATTGGCTGCTTGCCACTTCAATTGCAGATTGAAGTACAGTACAGTAGCAGTGAGTTGAGACAGGCTGTCTGCTGCATGCATGCATACATACGGTATGTCACCTCACCACCACCCACAGCAGCAGCACCTGAGGTCAGAATAGAAAAAGCCTCCCTCTCTGCCCCTGCGCTGCACAGGCTGTTGGCATCGGTGTAGTATCTGCTTTATCTTCTACCAGCCTACCTATCACACACTCCCTCTGACCTACATGCTGCTCCTTATCCCTCTACACCTGATCCCTCCTGTATCCTCCTGTCCCTTCAGCCCTTTGTCCAATGCTCTCCCCCTCCCCCTCCCCCTCCAGTTGCCTCCCTAGAAACGACTCCAAGCCGTGTCTCAAGACATGTGTACACATGGCACCGGGTGCTATGGATGATGGCGCGCGCACACACACACAGGCGGCACAATGACTGCTGCATGGCATGGGGCAAGGCATGCCACACACACCAACATGACATGACACGCAACACATGCCGCATGATGCTAAGCACACGACTCATGGCCCGTGGCACACGTGGTGCCCAGCGTGGGTCATTGCATGTCATCCAGGGACTTGCGCACGCACTGCCTCACTCTCCTGCCAGGTACAAAAAAGAAAGGACAACGGGGGTACAAGAGGGGCGCGCACACACACCAGAAGAAAAGGCGAGGAATTCGTTGGCAGAAATGGCAAGGGGCATGGGAGATAGAGCATGGCAACGGATGACGGGGGCGGGTAGGTGTGATACTGAGTGGGGGGGTGGGAGTGGGGAGAGAGTGGGGGAGGGAGTGGGGGTGTGCCATCAGCAGGGCGAAATCAGCAACTGCAACTCAGTGAGGAAAAGGCAGTGACGCAGAGAGAGAGAGAGAGAGAGAGAGAGAGAGAGAGAGAGAGAGAGAGAGAGAGAGAGAGAGAGAGAGAGAGAGAGAGAGCGAGGGAGACACAGGGGGAGATAGAAGGGCAGCAGGAGAAAGAGATATATATATATATATATATATATATATATATATATATATATATATATATATATATAAAAGCGAGCCGCTACTGGGAGCGTGGGTGCGAGGGGCAGGGAGAGTTGAGGGGGGACACCGCATTTTTGAGCCGCCTCAAAAAGAGTTGAGGGGGGACACCGCACCTGTTGTAAGCTGTGATATCGTTGGAAAAGAGCTGAGCAGCGTCCGCATTGGCTGGGCTGGCAGGGTTTGGGTCAGTCAGCAGCGACTGGTGGATGGGCGCCAGGGGCAGAGGTGGGGGGGCCGAGGAGGGGGGTTGAGGGGAGGGGGGGGAGAGTGTCACAAAAGGTAGAAAAGAACAATTAACGCTGCGAGCAGGTGATTGGAATGGCGGGCGAAAGGATGGGAGAGCGAGGGAGAGCGGGAGGACAGAAGAAATATGCCTGATAGGGCGAGAGTGAGAGAGAGGAACTGACAGGAACTTGGGAGGGAGAGCGGCGCACAGTAAGTGGAAGGGGAGTGGCACGCAGTGAATGGGTGGAGAGCGGTACCTGGATGGAGGTGAGGATGGTGCAGATGTTGTGGCACGGCGACCATGCGTCCTGGATGATGTCCATGCACAGCGTGCCGTCGTTGTACACTGCACGAGGGGTTAAAGAGCAGGGGAGTACGGGGTGGGGGAAGCAGCGGGGTATGGGGTAATGGGGGTATGGATTCATTAACGCGTCCTGGATGGCATCCATGCACAGCGTGCCGTCGTTGCACACTGCACGAGGGAGTCAAGAGCGGGGGAGAATGGGAGGTGAGCATGGGGAAGGGAGAATGCCAGTAAAGCGTCCTGGATGATGCCCATGCACAGAATGCCGTCGTTGTACACTGCAAAGGGGGGTGAAGTGCGAGGGGAGGTTCGGGGAAGGGGAGAGTACTTCAATGCGTAACGGATGGCATGACCATGCACAGAACGCCATCGTTGTGTACACAGCATGGGTTCACATAGTGGGGAGTCTGGGGGACAAAAAAGCGGCTTTTGCGCTGACTTCTCATGGGTTACGCGAGTTGGGACCTTACTCTAATGCGCATGCACGTGGAGCAGCTTTGAGTCGCCTCAAGTCGCACCTGGGGCTGACACACAGGGGTCTCAAACGCAGAAGGAACTCACGGAGACAACGAGCGCTCACCGCTGGGGTGGAACACCTCTGACGTGGAGGGGGTTTTTGACAGTTCTCAAAAACACCCAGCAAACTCAAGGAGACAACGAGCGCTCACCGTTGGGGTGGAACATTTCTGAGGTGAACCGCACACGGGGGGGCTTCTCCGGATACTGCTCGCTGAATATGAGCCGCAGGGAGAAGATGCCACCTGGGAGAACGGAAGGGAATGAGTGAGGAGGGAGGGTGTGTGAGAGAGTGAGAGGGAGATAAAGTGAGAGAGGGAGCGGGGGGGAAGGAAAGAGGGTGGCAAGGTGGGAGCTAGGGGGCGACAGAGGGGCGGAGTACGAGAAAAATATGCCATCAACCCACCCACAGTAAAAGGTTCTTTAAAACAGGTGATTAGCTCACATCAATCCACTGACCCCCCTCACTGATCCACTGACCCACGGCGATTAATAAAAATGCCTTCAGAGTCGTCGACACCTGGACCATCAACTCACTCACCCTCCCACGGCGATTCGTCCGGGCCGAAGATGGTGGCACTCCATACAAAGAGATTCTCTTCGCTCTGCGGACTCGCGCTGCACCCCTGGTGGTGGTAATCGGTGTGGCGTGGTGTGGTTTGGTATGGTATGGTATGGTGTGGTGTGGTGCGGCGTCGGGGTTGCAAGGGAAGGAAGGAAGAGCGTGTCGTAAGGTAAGAGCCGGAATAGCCGGGGGGAAAGCGAGAACAGATGGCAGTGGGTGCAGGGGTTTGGGACGAGAAACGGGGCAACAGATCATATCGCGTACACGCACCGACGCGCAGACATGCACGCGGGGAAGACATGCACGCGGGGAAGACACGGGCGCGAGAAGCGGGGGAGAGGAGAGGAAGAAGCGGGTCGGGAGGAGGAAGGAGGGCAGAGAGCGGGAGGAGCGACGACAGAAGGACGGAGGGGGGAAGTCGGAGGGGGGAAGAATGGACGACGAGGACTCAACAACGCACCTCCGGAGGCTCCTGGCGGATGGCTTTAAGGTCCGACATGAGTCGCAGCTGCGACGACGACATCATCGTGCCGACACCGGTTTCAAGTCAAGGCGCAGACGGCACAGTCGCGCGCGGAAAGAGCTGAGAGCCGACAGCCGGAAAAGAGAGACGAGAGAGACGAGAGGGGAGAGATGGGAGGAGCGTGTAGTGCGACCAGAGTGGTTTCGAAGCGCCTCAACACGAGACTGCAGCGAGAGAGGAACCGAAGAAAGGTCTTCTACAGCGTAGAGAGACGGTCAAGTAGGACGCGGCACGACGGCAGCGCGATACGAGGTATTAAGTCGATACGCGAAGGAGTGATCGACGTGGCAACGCCAGATCTCGCCGTGACTACGCGTCAAAAGCGACACACGCGACTAGAAACCCTAACTACAGTTCCGGTGTCCTGACCTAAAGGGGCCCTAACTAACTAGTAAAATGCGCAAATTAGGTCGATGGCAGTAAGGGAGGAGAGCTACTGAACGACGGCAGGGAGTGGGGTCACGATAGGATGCTTAAGTGGGGGCGGGGGGTGCGCGAGCTGTTCAGCACCCTTGGGTGAGACGTTTTCGAGAAAAGAAGAGAGTCTAATGGTGAATGGAAGCTTGAACTGACTAGAAACAGCAGTGGGACTAACCATTTCTGCTCCTGGGAAACAGGGGAAGGCAGGCGAAGCGGAGGGGGAAGGGGAAGAGAGGAGGAAGTTGGGAAATCTGGTTGTGGAAATTCTAGAAAGCTCGATTATGATGCTAGGAGGAACCACCCCAAACTCAAACCCAACAACCCCTTGCAATTTAGCTGAAGTTCCCCCCGCAACTCTCGAGAAATCAGGAGGATGACACGCGGACGTGTCTGCGTCAGATGACGGAGTGGACGACAAGTTTAGGCTGTTCTAGGCTCGACATGTTTCCCAAGGCAGTTCTCTAAGCGCCCCGCTGGATGAGGTGTACAATGTATGTTCCACCTCTTCATTGGGCAGCCGAAATCGAATTCCCTGGAAAGTGGGACATGGGCATGCTGTAGTTTGTTTGTTGGTATGGGGCAGCATGTGGCGCACGGTGAATTTCACCTTGCGTCACAGAAGAGGTCCACAAACCCGCCCAACACGGTACTGTAGTACAGTATACAGGTCCCGTGTGCACGACGAGAACAGTGGTACAGTGTGGGTTTGAGTTAGGATCCAATACATCTTCCAATGAACTCGAAACCAAAATAAAAACCCATCACCAAACTACCTATATTACAAGAGCATGCACATTTTTATGCACTACGGCAACTCATGTAATTCTGCATGTAAGGAATTACGATTCCGTACTGGGGCTCGCCACAGCGAGTACACGCGAACCTCTCGGGTCCGCAGGCTCGGCCCTTGGTTCTCGCGCCAAACCAGCCCTCGTCGACCCTTTCGGCCCCAATCTGATCCCGAGTCGCCCCGAACCCATTTTGACCCCGTCACCCTCGGGACTATCGAGCCCTTGACTGGTCCATGTCGGCGCAACGTTGATTGTTTCTAGCATGGCGTAGCTGAACGCTCGAGTAGTGGTGCCGAGTGCGACGACCATCGATGCCAGCATGTCTGTAACTCAAGCCAGCTTGCGCGCAGTAGGGCATAGAGGGTAGCGTTGAGTGTGGCTCGCCGCTCCTTGCCGATGGAAAACCGGCCGGCATGTGTGTCGAGTTATACGCGAAGGAACCGAATGTGCTGTATTGGTATCAGCCTGGACTTTTTTGAGTTGAGTACGAGCCCTGCGACCTTGAGATCGATAACGACCCGTTGGCACGTAGCTTGAGCGTGTGCCCGGGTCGGGCACAGGAAGAGGATATCGTCCACGTAGGGTATCACGCGGACCCCCTGCTCCCGCCATCGCCGAGCTAATTGCTTGATGAGCTGCGTGAAGACGAATGGTGCTGTGGCGAGGCCCAACGGCAAGGATCGAATGGCATATGTGCGCCCGTCGAATTCAAAGCCGAGGAACATCCAGCACGAGGGGTGGATGTCGACATAGTCATGATTTAAAGTCGATGGAGAAAATCCAATCTCCTTGACGAGCGAGGTCCGCCACATGGTTGAGTTCCTGATATTTAAATTTGGCGATGATTAGTGCGTCGTTCACCTTTCGGAGATCCAGAATAACGCGACACTTGTCTTTCTGCTCGACCACGTTGAGTGGGCTTATGCATCTCAGTTTTGCCGCTGGAATATGGACGGCCGCGCCAGTCTCGGTGAGTTTGAGGATGGCCGTGCGCGTGAATGCTTCGTGTATGCGTGCGCCGACATGGTTGCGATCGTGAAAGGCCGGCGGCGGCCCGAGTTTCCATGACATCCAATATCCTTTGGCAATGACTGAGAGGATGAAACTGCTAGTGCACCACGAGCTCCACCAAGCGAACGTGGAACGTAGGCGGCCACGCATCTGGGTGTCCATCTTGTCCGTAACCGCTTATTCGTAGGGGTCACTGCTGTGTGCGCATTCGCGAAGTCGGGTGCCTGTGAGAGTGACATCATGCATAGAGAAGCGAGTGACAAATACTTCAGTTCATCTGCAGAGCTGAGGCCTGCCGGAAACCTAGAGCATGGGGGGGGGGGGAGGGAGTGTGAAAGCCCAGTTGTTAAGCAGGGTGTGCTGGACTAAGGTGCCACTTGCAAGCAAGATGCCTGGGTCGGTGGTTGCCTGCACTTGAGCGAGTCTGAGCGGAGTGATCTACGTGTGTGTTAGGTTGCGCGTCCGCGCATGCCGAGCCTGCGCCTCGATGTGTATGCATGAATTTCCACTTATTGTCCTTCCCATTTGCCCTCATATTCCCACAACTTGTGCCTCCACTCGCACTTCTACTCGCGAACGCATGTTACCCTCTATTGCGTCTTTCACTTGCGTTCTTATTTCTTGGGTTTTGAGTCTCAACACCCGTGCTGTGGGCACTTGCGTTCATGCTTAGGTTAGGTCCCCCCACCCGCTTCTGCCCCGCGCCCTAGCCAACCGCGCCTCGCTGGCCCCTAGCGTGTCCGCCGTCCCCTCGCGCCGTAGCCGGCCCCTAGCGTGCCTGTCGGCCCCTCGCGCCCTAGCCGGCCCCTTGCCCTATAGCCAGCCCCTTGCGCCCAGCCGGCTCCTTCGCGACCAGCCGGCCCGCCCCCCCTCGCGCCGTCGCCAGCCCCTCGCTCCTTCGCTGGCCCCTCGCGCCTTCGCTGGCCCCTCGCGCCCAACCTGGCCCCTCGCGTAGTCGCCAGCCCCTAGCGCCCAGCCGCCCCCTTCGCGACCAGCCGGCCCGCCCCCCCCCCTCCCCCCCCCCCCCCTTGCGCTGTCGCCAGCCCCTCTCGCGCCTTTGCTGGTCCCTCTCGCCTTCGCTGGCCCCTCGCGCCTGACCGGCCCCTTGCGCCCTAGCTGGCCCATCGCGCATTGCCGGCCCCTCGCGCCTAGCCGGCCCCTCGCGCCTAGTCGGCCCCTTGCGCCCAGCCGGCCCCCCTCTCACCTAGCAGGCCCCTCCCATCTAGCCGGCCCCTACCACCTAGCCGGCCCCTACCGCCCAGCCGGCCCCTCTCACCTAGCTGGCCCCTCCCATCTAGCCGACCCCTACTGCCTAGCCGGCCCCTACCACCTCGCCAACCCCTCTCCTGCGCACCTCCGGCCCCATGCGCCCTGCCGGCCCCTCTCCACACGCCGGCCCCTTGTGCGCCTTGACTCCTCAAGTGCCCTCCTCGGCCTTCCGTTTGGTTCTGCTGCCGAGCCGCTGAGTCCGTGTGCTGCTGTGCCGCTGTGTCCCTATGCCGCTGTACCGCGGTGTCCCTGTGCCGCTGTGGTTGAGCGATGGCGGACGCCATGCTCCGTCTGGACGTAGAGGGGCACGCGATGGACTTCGCCACTTGGCTTGTCGATCTCCGCCGGCACCTGACAGGTCAGCGCGAGGATGGGCACTCCCAGGCTATGCATGTGGATGGCTTGCTTCCTCGCCCACCCGCCTCTGATCCCCTTCCTGCTGACCCCACTACTGCTGAGAGTGAGGCCTTTGCTGCTGCTGCGCTCGCTCGCGCTGTCTGGGATTCTCGCGATGCTGCAGTGCAGCTTGCCATTAGTCATGCACTTCCCTTGTCTGAGTGCCCGTGTTTCACTACTATCGCGACTGCCAAGGATTTCCTAGATGCAGTAGTTGCACGCTACTCCACGCCTGCCTCCGCCTCAGCTGGCCGCTTGATCCTCCCCATGCTCTTTCGTGATCTCTCTGCTTTCCCCACTGTCGCTGATCTCGCCACTCACCTCCGTGCACTAGAGACTAGCTATCGCGCTGCTAGCACTACTGCACAGCTCACTGCCTTAACCCCACTGTTCTGTGCTACCCTGTACCTTATTGCCATGCGCCTACCTGACCACTTAGCCATTGTCCGCGACCACTTCCTTAGCCAGCACCCTGGTGACCTCACCCTGACCGCTTTTGTCGCTACCCTTTCTGAGATAGAGACTCGGCAGCGCACTATCGCTCAGTCGAGCGGTGTTGCGGCAGTCCCTATCTTTCAGGGATGTGCTCCCTCCCAGTGCACATACCCTGACGATTCCGCTGCGGTCGCTACTACTGCTCCTGCCGCTGCAGCAGCGACAGCGTCGGGGCCGTCGCGGCCCCAAGGGAGGGCGTGGTGATGGTGGCAGTGACAATGGTTCAAACGAGGGGCCTGGGGCAGGCGTCCAGGAGCAGCAGCAGTCGCAGCAACAACAGCAATAGCCGCAGCAGCAGCAGCAGCAGCAGTAGCCGCCGCAGAAACCGTGGGCCCGCCTCCCGCCAGGGTGGCCGGGAGACCTTGGAGGGGGTGGCCGAGGTGGCAGTCCTCGCAGCTTGGCGTCTACAGGCGGCTTCAGTGCTGTGGGCTGCCAGTACCAGTACCAGCTCTAGACCGGTCCCCTTCGTGGCACTGTGTGCCACCGTCCACACCAGACCGCCCGCTGCTTCCGCCGCCTCAACGACCTCTTTCGTTGCCGCTTCGGCCCGGCCTTGGACCTCCCTGACTAGCCCAGTCTGCTTCGCCACGGTGTGCCTGTTTTTGACCTGGACATGGATCAGCTTAGTTTTGCTTTGCATTGTCTGTATGCTGACGATTCTAGGGTGTCCGGATCTTGTTACCCTGTGTTCTCCTGCTTAGGCATAGCACATGTGTGTAGTACAGACTCCCCTGCTGCGTCAAGCGTAGGACCGTTTGCTTTGTCTAGCCTAGGCTCCACATTCGCTTCTCCTTCGTCTGCGGCTACTGCTTCGCTGTCCTTCACACTTGACTCAGGCGCGTCTGCTTGCTTTTTCCGTGACCACACCGCACTCACGCCGCTTGCCGCGCCTGCCACGGTCGCCCTTGGTGACCCCTTGTCTGGTCCTGTTGTTACTCGCAGCTGCACTACCCTTCCCTGTCCAGCGGTCCCCTCGGGTTCCCTTACAGGTCTGCAAATCCCCTCGTTCTCCCAGAACTTAGTTGGTGTCGGCTGTCTTAAGGACCTCGGTGTCACCACTACGTTCCCGGGTCACGAGCAGTACGCCGTCTGTACCGAGGCTGCCTCAGGTTTCCCCCTTGCGACGTTCCCCCGGGACCCGATGTCTGGCCTCTTTACGCTGGACACTGCTT